TGTTGGATCATCAAGTTCTGGGGGTTATTCGATTGACCTTATCGAGGTCCGTTGCACACAACATCGTCAAGGAAAGGACGACTGCATAACTCATAGGAACCTTATCAGGTATGTATGAAAAGTCATCGACGAATAACAAGGTGTATTTGATGAAGAAGTTATTCAACTTGAAGATGGTGGAAGGTGTTTCAGTTGCTCAACATCTGAATGATTTCAATACTATCACAAATCAATTGTCGTCTGTTGAAATTGATTTTGATATTGAGATATGTGAGCATATTGTTGGCATCGTTGCCAAATAGTTGAGAAGTCGTGGGGATAACAATTAGCAGTTTTACATGTAAATTTAAACTGAAATGTGATGATATTCGTGATTTGATTTTGACTGAGGAGGTTTGCAGAAAAGATTCTAGCGAGATCTCAGTACGAGTTCGACACTGAATGTTAATTTCAGTGGGAGAAGGTAAGACAAGAGCTCAAATAGAGGGAGATGAAAATCAAAGTCTGATCAGCAGACAACCTGCTGGAATTGTGGCAAGGTTGGCCACATAAGGAGGAACTGCAGGAATCCCAAGAAGATGGAGAATGATAGCGCAAATGTGGTATATGAAGAAGTACAAGATGCACTATTACTGACAGTTCATAGTTTTGTTGATGATGGAAGTGAAGAGATGAGTGGGTCAGGGGCACCCATTTATATTGTTCCACAGACAAATAGGTGAGAACCACAGAGCTATAAAGAAATCTTGCAAGATGAAAGTTCAAGCAAGTGAGAGCTGACAGAACTTCCACCAGGGAAGAAGACATTACACAACAAGTGAGTGTACCAGGTGAAGACTGAGCATGATGGCAGTAAGAGGTACAAGACTAGAATTGTTAAAAAAGACTTTCAACAGAGACAGAATATTGTCCATACAATGGAAGTTGTAAGCAGAGACAAGAGTAATTCAGGAAATAGCTTGGAGGTGCAAGGCTATTTGGACTCTGTTGATATGTTGACTGAGGGTGTTACTCTTGAGAAATTGATGTTGTGTACAACTACAGTTGGTCTTCTGGAGTGATTGGAGTGAAGAAAGGGCTTTGAGTTGCAGAGGTGAAGGATTCAAGTTGGAGGATTCGTGGCTGGAGTGAAGAAAGGGCTTTAACTTGCAGAGGTGGAGGATTCAAGTTGGAAGATTCGTGGAGGATTCATGATGGAGGATTCATGTTTGAAGAAAAAGGGTGACACCTCTAATGGAGATATCAGTTTGAAGAAGAAGGCATTGTAGCAGGTGTATAGGTCTCCAAGTAGGAGATTGCTAAGCACTGGAGCCCGATCCACGCCTCCCCAACCCCGCTCCGCTCCCGATCGCGAATTGTCGCGATCCCACTCCCGATCGCCCGCTCCCGCTCTCCCGACCGCGACCTGCGGTTTCGCGATAACCGCCGCTCCCTGGTCCCGATTCGCTAAGAGTCGCGCCTCCCTAAGTCACGTTTTGTGTTTCTTCTTCAGATCTCCTCAGAATAGAGGAAGAGTTCTTCGGGCTTCCACGGAACAGTGGAAGAGAAGTGCAAGGAGGAGTAGTTCATTGCGGTAGAGGAAGAAGAAAGAAGAAGAAGAAGATTGTTCTCCCTTAACTTCTTCTTGGTGGCTTGTGACAGAAGAGAAATTGAGTTTATTTCTCTTGTAAGTTTTTCTTCTTCGATGTAACTCGGTGAAAATTTTCTTCGGTGTATCTCAGTATAGAGAGAAAAGTATAGAGAGAAAAGAAGAGAGAGAAACGAAGTAAGAGTGAGATATTCCTCTTGTAAGTCGAGGTGATCGACTAGTGTAAGTTTCTCAAGTAGTAAAATCCTTTGCAACTTCGTCGATGTAGGCAATTGCTGAACCACGTAAATTTGTGTATTCTTTTCTGGTGTGAATTTTTCTCGTTCTATTTTTTGCTTCGTCGATTGTTCTCCTATTTGATTTATAGATATACCACTACAACATGTATATATCTATAGTTCACAACAGCTGGTATCAGAGCTTTGTTTAGATCTGAGGAAGAATGATGACTGCAGATGAAGTGAAGGTTTCAGGGATCGAGAAGTTTGATGACACTGATTTTGGTTACTAGAGAATGCAGAAAGAGGAATCACAAAGACATCTCAGGGATGACAGATGAGGTGTCGTGGCCCCGCAGGGCCTACCAAGGAAGGCCCAAGACCGTATTCTTAGCCAACCAGTCCACGTTCTGGAAAGATGGTACGCCTCAGATTGATAAGAGGTAGATCACTTCTGAAAAATCCATCTAATCAGGCATGCTCGGATGAACTTGTTGATATCAAACTCGGATTGATCGAGAAAGTGAAACAAACCCTCCAGTTCCAAGGAGATTGATATGGAGCTTCAGCAGATAACCGCCCGGATTAATGCTAGCCCCGGTCTCCTAGCCGCCCAGCTTTACGGCCACCTGGTCTCCTAGCCACATGACTTGAGGGCTGCTTGAACCAACGACCACCTCGTCTCATGGTAGAATGACCCATAGAGTGGCCACCAGCCTCCCAGTCGCCCGACTTAATCACCGCCAGACCTAACTAACGTCATCTATAGGCCCCACATGTTGATTTATGTACAAACTGAAATATCCCCATCATACCTACATACTTTAGGGGCACATAATGTAATTATCCGATGCCCTATTCATATAAATAGATGGTCAATAAAATGAATAAAGGTTACACAAATTTAATGTTCATTAGTGTGCTATTGCTCTTCTTTCTCTCTCCTATTCTTCATCACTATTCCTTTTTCAGGTCTTCTAGACAAATTTGGATATATATATATATATATATATATATATATATATATATATATATTAACACTTGTGCGCTAGTCTAATATTGGTGGTTATAATTTTCTTATTGTTAGAGCCAATAGAGGTGGTTGATTGTGGAGCATGGATGTTGACCGTTCAACGGAAATAGTATAAGTGTGAGCCACAGTTGCTTCACGAAGAGGAGAGAATCTTTCTTTTTGTAACAAAGTTTTTATATATTTATAATTTTTAACACTCTAAAATTTCATATTCAGACATATGACCCTCAAATCTTTAATATTACATTAGATGACTAACACCCATTTCCTTATATTTATTTATGACACCAAAAATGTAAGAATACAAATTTCAAATTTTAAATGCTAGATATATAAAATACATAAAAACTTATGTGGTAGATATATTAATTTTTCTTTTTATTTAGGAAAAATTACGTACAATAAACACAATTCTTATATATTTTCATATATATAAATATATACCAAACAAAGTTTGAGGTTTAAACTTATTGCACCTTTTTAGCATAATACTTCAATTATAAAAAGATTGTGAATTTGGTATTTTTGATGTGATGTTAAGGTTTGAGTGATATGCAAGTATGAATGTTTAGGTGCTAGATATGAAAATTAATAAGAAAATTGTGGTATTTATGTAAAATGCTCTATTAACATTGAGTATTCATCCATTGCTAAAGACAACGATAACTGTTAGATCAAATCATTCAATACAGAAAGAAACATATAACACTTCTCCTCTCAGGCGACCTTCCATAGAAGACTGCAGGTGGGCAGAGAAGAATAGAGAACAACTTCTACTCTGACCCAAGGTCAACCACGACAGCGAATTTGACCTCAAATTTATACCCTTATTCATAGTGAGCCCGAAAAACCTACTATTGTAGCTACTAATGCCAATAAAATCTATTGCATAATATGTTTTACTTTTATATTATACAGACATATTTATAGCGTATTGTTGCTTTAGTGATTGTGTCATATTGTTTCACATGCAAAGTTATTATGTTTCAGTCGATGATATAAATTAGTTAACTCATATCAGATCTGTATTCTGTTGCATTCATCTTTTTTCATGCCTCCGGGCCGGATCGTGATAATGATAGCGTAGCACTAAATAACTACAGAACAAGCCTTTGCTTTTATTGTTAATATGCAATCAAGTTAACACATTCGATTTCTAGCCCTAAAAATGTGAAGCTAAATTTTTCCCGTGAATCTCACTAATTTCTTTTAATAGCCATTTAACGACAGCGATACTACAACGGCGACAGATTATCTGAACCAATGCTTTATTACAAGTGCTTGGCTTAAATATTTCTCTATGCGATTAATCATTTCGCTTCATACTCTTATGGTTAATGAAATGAACAGCCTAACTAAGCCCCCTAAATACAATACTGCACCTAGAACCTTATAATTAATATTTTTGAATATTTTACATGCATAACACCCAATTTGTAATGTATTAACATATCTAAAATGTAAAATTTAATATTTATACTTATAACACTTTAATGTCATAAATCTATACATGAAATAAGTACATTACCCATTTACAAGGTTCGAAATGTAAATATATTCTTTATATGATTTTAAAGATTTGAATGTTATGCTTATAAATATAAAGTTAGGCGGATAATTTAATGACAATGACAAATAAAGAAGCAGCCGCAGTGTAGCAACAATAATGATGGCAGAAAGACTTCACCACAAAATTTATAAAGATGCATGCATTTTGCATGAGAGCTCTAGTTTTAGAATAATAAATGAATCCTTTTCATACGGGTACAAATGTAAATTCCTGGCAATAAACATAAACCACCACCAAGTTCATTAACATAATTGTTTGAATACACTCTTTAGCTTGAAAACAGGTTTCATGTAGGTAACAATAGATGATTACGGTCATTTACATACATACCACCCCTATTCTTATCCATTTACATATCTAACACCTAAATTTTACCTTTTACAATTATACCGCCCAAATCTTGCCCAAATCTTTCATATCACATCTTTCATATCACATAGAAAATACCACTATTTTAACTTTCAAAAAGTAAAAATACACATTTTTATGCATAGATATAATGGCTTACATGTAAATACATAAAATAACACCCAATGGCACATCAAATACATATCATAAATGAGCACCTTGAAATCATTAATTCAAAATTCATTTCAATCATCAAAAACAGCAGAACTCATGGCCATAATTTTCCTATTTGGGAACACGAATTTGTCAAAACAACCCCTATCATCTTCCATTTCATAAAATGGGCGAGATGGGTTTTCCACTATCTCTTATTTACTCTCAGCCTTGTTGAACATACAAAATTGGAGACGAAATGAATTTGAGAAAGGTGAAAAGTATGTAATTATCATGAATTAAATGCTCATGCAAAGGTTACAGATAAGGCGTATGATTGAAGAAGAAAGAGTGCTTGCTCTGCCACAGCTCGGTCTCTTGCCAGATTTGACCATTCGATGGCAACTTCCTCAGCTTCTGTGCCACGGACCCCCACCACAAGTGCATCAGCTGCCTCCGCATACTTCTTCTCTGCTAAATATTTATCAACTCTGCTAATGAGAGATTCAATGCTGTCACTAGATCCATCTTCCCTCATCTGAATTGATGTAAGAAAAAAGCTTTAAATTATATCTGCGGTAACTTATGATAGATAAGAAATATAAATCAATGCTCGATGAAACACACACACACACACAGCACGCGCGCGCACACACACATATATATATATATATATTAATAAGCTTTGGAGGACGGGTAATGCTAAAAGGTTTTACATGAAAAATCTAAAACGGGAAAAATCACACGCAAGAAAAATTCACTATTTTGAAAGAAATAAAAAAGTAATGAATGATGAGTGCTGGCTCACATAAGAGCGAACAAAAATATAAAAAAAAAGGGATTGTTCATTGTACAAGGAGATAAGGTATTTATAGGCTTCTATAAAATTCTAATATATAAGGAAATACTAGAAGAGGCTAATGAAGGAAGAGCACATAGATTGTAATCCAAACGCTATTATAAGATCAATCCGGCAGTAGAGGTTTTCAATCCGTGTACTCATAAATTCTCACTAAGGTGAATGAGACCCACAAAATTCAAGCCATAAATTTTAACAACTTCATCTTGACATGAATTGCCAAAAGAATGTATAATAAATCTTTAATCTCAGACAAAACATTCACCACCTCTTCCATTTAAAAAATAAAAAAATAAGGATTATAAATGAATACTAAGACTCTGTTTGACGCAGCTGCAGCTACGCTGCCCAAGGAAGCTGCTGCGGGGAAACTGTTGCGTGGAAGCTGACTTGTTGTTTGTTACAGCTGTGTGAAAACAGCTGTGGGACAGCTGTTTTGAAAAAAATAACAATTTTGTCCCTGTTTAGTTAAACTGTTTGGAACAGAACAATGACAATCCTCCAATACTTGTAATCTCTTACTATTAAGCACCTCCAATTATGGAAACACAAACATTTTCATTCCAATGGAATTTTTTATCGAAGCACCCGTTCAGACTGATGCACTCCAGATTGGAGATTAAATTTACATTGTACAACCATTTTTGCAGAGCTTACACCCTTGTAAGAAAATATGGACAAACTCTTTAGATTTTTGTATGGTTTAAGATTTTCAAGCACAATCACAACTAATTCAGAATTGACAATGTTCCGTAGGCTTCCAAAAAAGTGGAACATTTGCATCAAAACCATCCAATTCCTATGTTTTTACATATATAACACCTAAACTTCACTTTATACCTTTATACCACCCAAATCTTTCATTTATACCACCCATAAGAGAATAAATTTTCATGGAAGATCACTCATATTATCTGGCTCAATAAGAATGGACTTTAGGTGCTGAAACGACGAAGGAGAACGACGAACCAGGATGCACAAATCGGGATCGGAGAACCAGGATCGCAGCCAAACGAAAGTAAGGCAGAATGAGGGCACCTGGGTAAAATGCGGAAGGAGGGAAGCCGACCAGGATCGTAGCCGAAACGACGAAGGAGGAAGAACGAAATTTTCATGGAATCGGGAGCTTTAGGAAGCCGATCAGGATCACAGTAAAATTTTCATGGAATCGGGAGCTTTAGGAGCTGAAACGACGAAGGAGGAGAACGACGAACCAGGATGCAGAAATCGGGATCGAACGAGGATCGCAGCCGAACGAAAGGAAGGCAGAATGAGGGCACCAGGGTAAAGTGCGGAAGGAGGGAAGCCGGGCCACGGGAGCGAAGCGGAGCCGCGAGGTTGATCCCGCGACCCGCTTTTCAGTCAGATTCGTGGTCGCCGCAGATGAAAAGCCGCGCCAAACGAGCCTTTTCTGCGGCCTCCCGCCGCACCGCACAAAGAAAGCCCCGCCAAACAGACCCTAAGTCTAAGCAATGCTCAAGCTTAACAATTAAAAAAGCCCTAGTCATCATATTGATAGAATTATCATGAGTACTAACTTTGCTCACAAGGATAGCACCACACATAATAACTCTACCAATAAAGTGATAGCAAACATTATCATGGTACTCATGAAAAATTTGATCTTTAATGAGACAAATAATCCTCCTAGTCTCGCACACTGTGGTAATCTTCAAGCATTCACTATGTTCTCTAAAAAATCTTTCAACTAAAAAGCTTCTTTACAAGCTTCAATAATTGTTATGTACTCAGCTTTAATTGCAAACAATGCCACCGTGGTTTGTAAAGTAGTTTTCTAACTAATCACACAATCACCGACAACAAATACATATAATGTAAGTGATCTCCTCCTACCAAGTTCTATAGCAAAAACCGAATCAACATAATCTATGACTTTATATGTAAATCTTTCAAACTGCAAACAAATATTTTTATATTCCACATAAGTATTTAAGGATCAACTAAACAGTTTTCCATTGTTCCTTGCCCAAATTACACATATACCTTCCAACTACATTAAAGACATATGATACATCTAAACGAGAAGATATATTAACATACAACATATATCTCACAACAATGAATTATGACACTCGAGACACATATTCAATCTATCATTTGACTAAGAACACAAAGTTGATGTAAGTTTGAAGTGCACAATTAATTGAGTACTAATATATTTGGTATTATGAATATTGAAACTGTACAAAATTTTCTTAATGTAGCTTTTTTTATTAAAAAATAAATTACCATCTTTTCTATTTCTATGAATCTACAAATCGAGGTCCTTTTTACAATTCACAAATACATCATCTCAAACTCATTACATAATTGAGCCTTCAACTTAATGATTTCTTCTTATTCTTAGCAGTATCAACATATCATCAACATAGATAGTAAGTAGACAAAAGACTAGTTGTCATTCCTCTTTAAGTAGTAAAACTATCATAACTACTTAAACTCATTAGCTTAGGAGAAAGTTTCAAATCATAAAGAGACTTCTTTAAAAAGAATACAAGTCTTCTTTTTTGTAACTATGAAACATTCAAACATTTGCATGTATGTGTCATCCTCAAGTTCTTCATACAAAATGTAGTCTTTACATCTATCTGCTTAAACTTAAGGTTGTAATTAGCCACAATTGCCAGTCAAATTTTAATTAAATTGGAAAGAATTCATCCATAAAGTCTACACCTAAAATCTAACTGAATCTCTTCGCAACTAGTCTAGCCTCGTATCTATAGCATCTTCTAACTCCGGGTTTACCTTCCTTCTTAAATACTATTTGCAGTGAACAATTTCCTTCCCTTGGGCAACTTCACTAAAATCCAAATATTATTCTTATGCAGAGATTCCATCTCTTGCATAACAGTCATCAACTTATTAGAATCAATTGCATTGACCACCCTTTATAGCTAAAAAGTTCTTAATCACACTTGATACCTTCGACCATAATTAGGCCAAAAACAGATCAACCTAATCATAAATCTATGATAGCTTAATTTCTCTTCTCATCCTAATTTGACAATATAGTATTATGATGATTGTTTTCATGGTGATGGGAAAGCATCGTCTCCAAGACCATCAAAACTTGAGTCAAAAGTTATGCTAGAAGATATATTCCTCTCAATCTGAAGTTCTACCTGCCTGCTAAAGCCCTCCTGTTCAACATCACAGATCTTATAAAAAAAATTGCCCACGAGAATATTTAATCGATCCCACCAAAAGCAACAAATGACAAACGGAACATCATGCGAAACGAATCAGGGATGCCTGGACTGCTATTGAAATTGCCCAAATGACATCTATTTGGAAAACAACCATGCCACTATGTTCATACTGCCAAAATTACCAAAGCAAAACTCCTCAATGGATACAATGGACTTTGGATGCATTGATTACTTCAAGTGCGGTCGAGCCTACCCAAATAACATATGTATGTAAATCAGATTATGCTGGCGCATTGAAAGCATCATAATTACTCATAGAGAAGCCTTCCGTGATTGATTTGATCGAGCGTGTTGAAAACAAGATTACTGAATGCAACATTGCTTGAGTCAGACTCAAATTATTTTGATCACTATAAAGACTAACCAAAAGTCATCCGTTCGCAAAATGGACGTGTTAATGCGCCCAAGATGTAAAAAATACCCAAAATCAATACCCATATCACACGGGCCTCCACATGAAAGATGACATGCATACAAGGCATGAGAAAGAGGAAATAAACACAAAAATATTTATTATATATGTATATCTTTATTAAATCTATCCCGACATCACCTATCCCTAAAATGTGAATTGTTGCATCATCTAGCCCAATTACTGGCTTCGTCGAATCTGTCTCATCTGGACTCCTCATGTGCAAAAGGAAAATTGAATGAACAAAATCAAAACAAAACCTACCCCTTTCTGAATCTCCACTCTTATTCATGTCCTTCCCCTTTTCACACATCATGTTCTCCTCTGTATACTGCATCACCCAGCTCACCTCTCTAAGCCAAATGACCCGCCTTTCTCCACTATTACTCTTTCTCGTTCCCATCACCATAAAGCTCACACAAACTACAAGACTAAGCCCTATCCTATATCTTGCCCGTTTATAGCTCCACCACTGCTAGTCTCGCTCCTCGTCCAACGATCAAAAGTCCTCATCCTTGTGTGGCTGGATGCAAAACTCTCTCATTTACCCACCTACCACCTTCTTTGACCCAACTCCAAGCAACCACTTCAATAGCCGCACACAGCCTCCACTCCAGCTTGTCTCGCACACGTGTCACAGCTCTCAACTCCCTTCATCCAAAGCTAACATCAGGAGCTCCACGCTGCCCCGCAACTGCTCTCCTGCATTACAACCTCCAATTAGCACATGAATCCAGCTTCACCAAACATTGTAGTTCCCCTTGTTTTCTCCTGCCCAGACCGCAACCCCTCACCTTTCTCTTAGTCTTTTCTTGTGCAAGAAATCCTCTCCAATTTTAGTTTCTACTTTAACACCTTAGCCCAGGTCTTCCTTGGCACACTTCTTTGACGCCACCCTCTGCTACACTTTCCTTATCCACATGACCCCAATAGCCCACTAAACTCTCACAACCAACTCCGCCTACACATAGTCCGTGCTTCCTCACCTCTCACCCAAGTGCTACTCTTTTTGTGCCTAAGGTGAGTCCGCAACGTTC